AAAAAGACTCGTTTATGTGGAACACAGCAGCTGAAGGGGCTTTTGAAGAACTAAAACGACTCATGACCAGTGTTCTAGTTCTCTGGATGCCTAACTTCACTCAAGAGTTTGTCATAGAAACCGATGCTTCCAAAAGCGGATTGGGAGCAGTGCTGATGCAAGAGGGACGACCGATTGCTTTTCTCAACAAAGGTTTGTCTCTAAATTCAAAGCTGAAGTTAGTCTATGAAAGGGAATTAATGGTTGTAGTTCTGGCTGTGCAAAAGTGGCGCCATTACTTGTTGGGCAGACGTTTTGTTATTCGAACAAATCAGCACAGTCTTCATTTTTTAACTGATCAGAAATTATTGAGTGAGAATCAGCAAAAATGGGTTATCAAATTGCTGGGGTTGGACTTCATGATTTAGTATAAACCAAGACCACAGAACAAGGCAACCGATGCTCTTTCTAGGATGCCAAACGTGGTAGACCTTCATGCTATCTTACTAGGCTGTTTTTCTGGACTGGACAGTTTGAAAGATGTTATTCAGAGTGATGACAGATTACGTGGGATCATGCAACAGCTCCTAATCGACCCCAACAGTCATTATCCCTTTAGATTGGTGGGCCACCATTTGCTGTACCATAACAGATTGGTGCTACCTAAATCTGGGCCTCACACCCATAAAATTTTACAGGAATTTCATGCATCGCCCATCGGGGGCCATTCAGGGTTCTTTCGGACATATAAGCGTCTCACAAATGTGGTGTTTTGGGAGGGAATGAAACACGACATCAAAGAGTTTGTAGCTGCTTGCCCTGTTTGCCAACAAAATAAATATGACCCCATGAGCCCAGCGGGTTTGCTTCAGCCGTTACCCATCCCTCACCAAGTGTGGGAAGATATTTCTATGGACTTTATCATGGGGCTTCCCAAAGCGAAAGGGGTCGATACAATTTTGGTAGTAGTGGATCGTCTGACTAAATATAGCCAGTTGTTACCTCTCAAGCATCCATACACACCCAAAGTGGTAGCGGATCTATTTATCAAAGAAGTGGTTCGATTGCATGGGTTTTCCCATACCATTGTTTTCGATCGAGATAGGGTTTTCATGAGCAACTTTTGGAGCAAATTATTTAAACAATGGGGTACCCAATTACACATGAGTTTCGCATACCATCCGCAGAAAGATGGTCAAATAGAGATAGTAAACCGTTGCTTAGAGACCTACCTCAGGTGCTTTGTCAGTGGGCAGCCACAGTTATGGCCCAAATGGGTTCCATGGGCGGAGTTTTGGTTCAACACTACTTATAACCGTTCCACAGGAATGTGTCCTTTCAAGGCCCTCTATGGCCGTGATCCCCCAACAGTTTTGCGCTATTCGAACCACACCTCTTTAGTCGAAGAAGCGGACCAGCAACTTCAACAACTCAACTGTGTTTTGGATGAGTTAAAAGAGCATCTCCTTAAGGCTCAACATCTCATGAAGACTTATGCTGATCACCATCGTTGAGAAGTTACGTTTGAGGTTGGGGGCTCTGTTTATTTAAAGTTGCAACCATACAGATTGAGATCTCTCGCTCGTCAACTTAATGAGAAACTTAGCCCGCGGTTTTACAATCCATTTGTCATCACGGACAGAATTGGGGCAGTTGCATACCGGCTGGCATTACCACCCTCAGCTCGTATTCATGATGTTTTTCATGTTTCGCAATTGAAAAAGGCAACTTTTCCAATTCCCAATAGTCAACCCCTACCAGCAGCTCTCAATGAAGATCTCATTTTACAACTTGAACCTGAAGCAGTACTTAAGAAAAGGAAACTCCTCAATGGACAGTGGGAGGTGCTCATTCAATGGAAAAGCCTACCCCCATTTGAAAACACTTGGGAAGACTTTGAAACTATCCACTGTCAGTTTCCTTCTTTCCACCTTGACGACAAGGTGGCTCTCCTTGGGGAGGGTAATGATGAGACCGTAGGAAGAATAGTGGTAAGAAGCAGAGGAATATTTGCTAGGCAGAAGGTTAGAATTTGTTATGAGGGGACAGGTGGCTTGATAGGATTGGACATAAGAGAAATTCTGTTAGAAATCAAAAGGTGTCAGGAGGGAATAAAAAGGGCAGGAACGAAAGAGAGGATATTCAGAATTAACAAGTTATTTTGGAAGGGAGGTAGTTGACCCTCAAAGTCAATATTTGTGGAGGTGGCTGACCCTCGAAGTTAGTCTTTCGTTTACCATTTTCTTAAGTGTACTTTGTTTACTTTCTCAATGTTATTTGCTTATTGAGTGCTAATAGGACATGGCTTCTTGATGTATCTTCTCTAGATGTAATGTTCTATATGGTTATTAATATAATAGGGTATTTTCTCATTTGAGTGTGAGTGTTGGTTGTGTTTGTTGGATAGATTGTTGGTATTGTTAGTGGAATTGCATGTCATGTTCCATCATTGTCCTAAACAACTTTAGATAAATATTTTATTTCATCTTAAAGTTGTTTAGATAAATATTTTATTTCATCTTAAACCTTTAATGTAACATAACATATATTTTTTTACAATATACAAATAGTTATTACTATGTGGAAGCAACTTTCCTTAAAATGAAAATTAGAAAAATTATAACTTATTACAATGTGGAGTTTATTCTTATTTATAACTATCCCACAATGGGAATAGAATTTTTTATGACTATGTAAAGTTTATTCCTATATTGAGTATCACTATAGAGAGGTTAACTGTATATAAATATAAATAAAACAATTATTATATAGTTTTAAATTTTAAATTATCATACAATATTTCAAAATATGAATAACAATAAATACAGTAGAACCTCTCTATAGTCATAATGTTGAGACCAACTAAATTTATTACTATGAAGAGGTTATAACTTAATAAATATGTAGTTACAAGAATTATTGTGTTGATTAAAAAATTATTGTTTTGATTTCTTATTTTATAATTCATGTTTTAGTAGTATTATGATTTCAATTCATTGTTTTAGTGATATTATAATAGTATGAAAATGGATATCAAAGAGTCATTACAAAATTGAGTGATTAGATTCAACAACTTTACTACATTAATCAAATAGATATTAATACTTCTTTAATCATCCAAATGAGTAACAAATCATGTATGTTTTAATTGAAGAAGAAATCATTAATAGAATTAGACAAGAAGAGGAATGAGATAATCCTGAGGATGAATACAGTACGGAAATACCAAAAGTTTCGTGCCAAGAAGCTCGAAACATGCTTAAGAGCTAGAAATATTTTGGCTTCAATAAGAAGGTGTCCATGTTGGCGACTTATTACGTACCCGCAAGATATGGTAACAACTCTAAAACATAAATCATTGTCTTAAACAACTTTAGATAAATATTTTATTTCATCTTAAATATTTAATGTAACATAACATATATTTTTTTAATAATATACATATAATTATTACTTTATAGAGGCAAATTCCTTAAGACGGACCTAGAAAAACTATAACTTATTATTTTTATTTATAAATGGCCCAAGTTGGGACTATAATTTTTTATGACTACATGGAGGTTATTCCTATATAGAGTATCACTGTAGAGAGGTTCTACTGTATATTTATCAACCACCACTAGATAATCCAACAGGCAATTAAGACTTTTGGATGTATTATTTTAAAGGTCATGAATTCAATCCACCTAGATTATTAATAGGGTCACCACTGAGGGGATTTACCCAACTGTCAACTTCAAGGCCTCGAAGGATTAATTGAGATACGCACAAACTGACCTAGACACCCCTGATCACCAAAGCCCGAAAGCCCCGATGACAATAAAAAAGGAGTAGAACATGCAGTCTGAGTGTTTTGTGTAGTGAGTGAGTTTTAGGTTAATAAGGGCCACAATTGAGTTCGAACTTTCGACTTGACTCCAACGCAACTCAAACCAAGTTGGATTTTGACTTTATTCAACTCATAATTTATCATTCCGAGGACAAAACTCATTTTTCAAAACAATTCTTATTGTATTGTAGACAGAGTCGCAGGCTTGTAATTCACCTAAGCCTTACAACTCATTTTTGCGTTTTTGACTTTATTCTACATTATCACTCTTCCAAGGGCAATCCCATTTTCCAAAACAATTGTAAATACCCACAAAGGCAGAGTCTCAAGTTTGGAATTCACCTAAACCTTACAACTCATCTTCTCAAACAATGCTTGTAACAGCGGCTTTCTCTTTCAGCAATCTCTAGTTCAAGAACATCAAGCAAATCATTAAGGCACCTAGACTTGATTTGTGACCACAGAAAGCAAACTTTTATCTAGGATTTCACTTCTACATTAATTAGTTGCCCACCAACTACTCCATAGCTATTACTTTCCTTTTCACCACACAATACAAGTCAGTTTATAAGTGCATTTTAATAATACTTCCTTGCACTCAACCAACAAAGGTTTACATCCAACAGTTATGGGAGGGTCCAGAGGACCAGATTCAATCTTGATACTTTAATTTAGAGTTCGCATAAATCCTGGGGTTAGCAACCATTCTTTTTAAATGAAGTTTAAACAGAAAAGCACCTAGATCCTAATTCATATTAGAAACTAATTAAAAAAAATAAAAAGAATAAAATCACAACAAAAAAATCTGAAATGAACAGGGGAAAACTAAATCAAGACTTAGTACACCAACGGACATGATAAGTGTTTCTTCAGGTCAAGCACCACCGACAAACACAACCCTCATATAGGCTTAATTTGAAGTTGTCGTAGCTTAAGAAATAATCAATAATAAACAAGTTTACAAGTAAAGTTTTAAATCACTACAAGTAATCAATCTTCTCCACTAAAAAGTAGGGAATTGGAATTTGAACATATAACTAATAAGCAATTACAAAACCAAAGCAGCCAACTAGCTCATACAACAGTTCCAAGTAAACCTAAAAATTTGAAATGATTCAACAATTCATTGAGCAGAAAATGGTACAGTAAACAAAAGATCAGGGCTTTGAATATTAAAAGTACACATGAATTCATCCACTAGGTTGCCTACATATAAAATTTGATGACTGTATTCCTAACTCCTTTCAAGCTAAAGCTGTCTTTCATGCTACAACTCCTGTCAAGGTAACCAGTTGAGTTGTAAGATCTTCACTATTCCACCTAATGTAAACCTTCCCAAGAACACAAAAGCATTGCAGCTGAAGCAAAATCTAATCTCAAACAAGCTGCAGTATGGGTATCAATAAAAAAGGACAAAAAACTTACAAGAATAGACATAAGAAAAGAAGACTACAAACTTTTGATAGGAACTCTTACACCATTATACATTACATTTTCACAAATGAATTTCTCATGATAACAGGATAAGTCAGCATAAAGAAGGTACCAGCTCCACATCAGGTTGGAACTCATGAATACAACAATGTTATGCCTGGGTTATTGATCCCTCCATCTTGGACTTGAGATAGGGAAAAAACCTGAAGGTGATAATGGAAAAAAGGCGCCTGGAGAAAGCGGGGGTTGAGGCCCTGGACCTAAAATCCCAGACTGCGCCATGGGAGAAAATGCAAAATTGGGTGTCAGTGGCGGAGGAAACTGAGCCCCTGGAGAAAGCAATGGATACGGTGAACGTGGTGAGAACAAGTTCATGTAACCAGTAGGAGATGACAAAAGGAACTGAGAGGTTGGCGATGGTAAAAGTGGAGGTCCATTCATTCGTGGGGAAGGGAGATTAGGCATCAATGGGACTGGACCTGGACCATTTACTCTAGGTGAGGGAAGACCAGGCATAGGTGGGTTTGGAAGCAAACCAGATGAAGGCGGCTGAGGGTGAGCTTGACCCTGAACTTGAGGTGGTGGATGAAATTGTGCATGTGGATGAGGTGGAGCTTGGTTTCCCCTATGACCATGATCTCCAAGAACATTTTGAAGGTCACGCATATAAGCTGAAATTGGAGACTCAGCTGTATTTGGCCAAGCAGAGTTGTCCCAAGGTGCCATCGGTTGTAGTTGTCCATATTGTGACATTGCTTGTCCATATGGAGCATGAGGCCTCATTAAGTTATTATTGTAAGGAAAAGGGGGTGGAAGTGGAGCAGGCATTGGAGCAGGAGCGGGAGCAGGGACCATAGGGGGTATATGAGGTCGGTTAATGGGTGTTAATGGGGGTGGTCGTATCTTCTGCAACCGCATACTTTGGGGTTTTGGTGGATTTTGGGGAGGCCTAGGCAAAGGATCTTGCGAAGGTGAACCAGTGAGCTGCTGCACAATGTTCCTAAAATCATTCTTGCTTATGTTGTAAACCTGAGGCTGCGGTTGTTGCCTATTAGCATTGTTATTAGCAGCAAAATTAGGTTGGTGCAAAGGACTCTTCCGTATATTCTTGCCCATCTTATTCACACCCAAATGATCATTATTATGCCTATTTTTTGAGTTATCCATTTTGAGAAACTGTACTCCAACAACTCTAAACAAATTTATCAAATACTCACATAATCAAACCATTGAAAGCTTAAAATAGAACACCAGAACTCCAGATTCAAGCTAAAACATTACCGATCTCTCCACAACAAAAACTCAAAATACTAGCTTTAGCAAACCAAGAATTGATTTGCTTCACATACCCACAAAGTTAAACCATTCAAAACCTTCACAACAAGTCCCACGACTTCACAATTGAATCTCAAACAGCATCAGTAATCTTTCAAGAGGACTTAATACTTGCTTCGACTGCCCAATATTAAATTCCCTCTCAACCCCAATAAGTCAAACAACAGCAAAATTAGAATATAAAAGTACCCAAACCTCCAAATTCAAGCTCAAAACAACCCCAAACCTTACTTTCAGAACAATACAAGCTTGAAACAGATCGAAATTCACAAAATTTTCACCAAAAGCAAAAGAAATCAAACCCTAGACAAGATATATAAGCAGCAGAAAAACATACCCTTTTCCAAGTTTTATCGAATCCACAACACCAAACTGAATCAGCCTCAAATCTCAAGCTCAGAATCTTGCAACGAAACTAGGAATTCAAAATATTTCTCCAAGAAAACCCAAAACCAAAAAATTAAAATTAAAAGCCATATATGAACCTAAATTATTCCCGGAAGAAAATTCAACGAACCCCGTAAGTAAAGCAACTTTATTCTTCGGTTTCACACACAAAAAACAAGAAAAGTAAAGAGAAAATAATGGAAGGGTCTGACTAGAGAAAGCAAACACAAAGAAAACGCCAATATAAAAAAAGACCCTACAGATCTTCTTCACAGTCTAATACGTTTAAAAAAAGAGCCAAGTTAAGTTAAGTTGAAATGGAAAGTGGGAATTACAAGAAAAGAAGAAACCCTAATTGAGAGAGAAGAGGGGGATTGGGTTGGGTTGACAAGGTCAAAATAGAACTGAAAATGGAAGAAATTGGAAATAAAAAAGTAAGTGGGTGAGGTGTTCGTGTAGGACCCAAGAGAAGAGGTTGGGGAATTCCAGTGAGGTGGGCTGACATGCTGACAATTGTTAGTCTTAGTCCAATCCTTATTTTTATCTTAACTGGATTTCCCTTCTTACGTTTATAATGTTTGGTGAAAACTAACCAATATCTTTAATATTACTACAATATATATTAAATTAAATAATTTCCTAATTATAATCATTAACATACAATGTTAGGTCATGCTAAACTCGGAAGACTAACACATAATAGTGTGATTAAGATATGTTAGATTATAAATAAAACTTGTGACATGACCATACAAAGGAGTTTCTTTAATTGGAATTAATGTCATTAACTGTGTTGTTACTTGTTAGATCTTAATTATGAATTAAGACAAAGAGTTAACGATTTTTTTTTCCCACTCAAATAATAACTTAATAACATTTTCCTAGACTTTTAAAATACTATTTTATTATCTAAGTTTATATCCTGACGACGAATAAAGAACAAACTTGTTTCAAGCTGTTAGGGCTTTTGAAGAGGAAGGGGAAGCCGATGAGTCTTTTAATGGTGGAATGTTAGATTTTGATGGTTGGAATTGATCGAAATTTGATTTGTAAGGGGTAACTATGCAAACCCTAATCACTCGATTGATAATGATTGGCAAAGTCGATGAAAGTAAGGCTTTAGGGGTTTTGGTGAGTGACGATGGGAAAAAAGAATGGTGGAAATGTGGGGTCACAACGATACCAAAATCAGAAACAAAATATAAATTTAGTAATAAAATTGTATTTTAAAAGTCTGTAAGTGGAAAAGTATCATTAGATCATTATTTTGATGGGAAAAAGTCGTTTACTCTAAGACAAATTAAACTTATAACTTTGTATCCAAATTTAAATCAAAGTTTCATATCTAGAGATTATAATTCACTACATAACCTCTAAGGTTTATTATGTTATTAATCTGACATAAGCAATAAGATTGGGTGTTTATTAAAAACTTGATCTTGTTAGATGAGTAATCCTCTGAAAAGTTTTAAGAAATAATTACTACATATACAAAATTGGATCCCAACTTTATATTCTAACTTATGTGATTATTTATGTGTCAACATCATATTTATTAAAGGGAATTCGCTAATCATATTAACTGACATAAAAAGTTTTTATCTTGTAGAGAGGAGGGGACATAGTTTATATGAAAATCGAAAAAAATCCGACCCAATAAGAAATTTTAAATTTATTGAGATGAATGTAATAAAATATATGTTTGAATAGTAATTTGGCAGGTGCTACTGCTACATTCCCACAAGGGCACAACCGCAAACCCTATGGGAGCGAAGTAAAAGGCTTAGGATTAAGGGGTTTGCTTTCCTTGTGATCTCAGGTTTAAATCACAAGAACGGTCGCTAATATTTGTTGGTCATGGACTGCAAGACTTGTTTTATTTCGGAAGTTTTGTTCAAGATCATGAGACTAGTTGAGATGAGTATAAACTAGCTCAAACACAGGATAACAAAATTAAAAAAAAAAAAAAACCTGCGTATGGGAGCGGAGTAGGTGTGAGGCAAAGTTGGATGTTGAATATAATTCATTTAATTAATTTTGTGAATAAACAATACATACATAACTTAACTAACTAACTATATATAAAACCTTTATTTGGAAGAATAAAGCAAGTGCAGAAGGGATTACGATTAGGTGGAAGTCAAACTAAGGAAACAAACGGAGTTAGCGCCGATGTTTTATCAAATTGTCCAATCCCACTCTCAATTAATTAACACTTTTATTAATTTCTTCTTCTGGATGGTCTTCGTGGTCCTCATTGATCGTGGACTCCTATTTTATCATTTATTAACGTTTTGATTTTTATAATTAAAACTTGGACCTACTTTTTTTTTTCAATTAAAAAAATAAGATAAAATTTTGAAACAAGGCAGCCTCCAAATTTCAACAACAAAATCGTCAATTAAACAGTCTTGAATTAATATATTAATAATAAGTAACCATGTTAGTCCAAAACAATCTCAATTTTGTCAAGCAGATGATAAAACTAAAAGTGCAGAGCTTATCGAAGAAAAATGAGTTAAAGTTAACAGAGAGTTAGGCAAATGGCAGCATCAGCAGCCACCTTATACCTTCGTACACACTGAGTCTACGAAAATTGCATGAATGGCAGCCTCATGCTGTAAAACTCAATGAAAAAATTTATTTGGGGTGAGAGAGGCTCGAACTCTCGACCTCAGGATAACTCAAATCCAAGCTATGAGACCTACGCGCTAGCCAACTGCGCCACCACCCCAATATGATGGTGGTAAGAAATCAAAATACTAGAACAGTAACACCCTGACTGAGCCCTAGTTAATTCTTTCAAAGAAAATTACCTGATGACTTTGTGAATCTCATTGAGCGTGTAAGGACCAAAAAGCCCTTTTAGTTCATGTAATTGTGATTGAGTGGTTATATAGCACTTGAATTTATTATTATTTATATGCCATTTTAAAAAAGTAGATTACTTTCTTTTTGTTCATTTTTCATTATGTTTTTTTGAGAAAAGAGAAAGAAAGAGGGAAAAGGGAGGGATAAAAAGAGAAAAAAAAAAAAAACTATTTTTATATTATGAAACGATAATAATGCCCATCAATTTAAAGATTAAAACTCTAGTGCCTATTAGATATTTACTCTTGTATAAAGACTAAAATATCCTTGTTGACTTTTTTAAACATGGTTTTAACTTTTAATGATACTATGATAGGGATGTTTTAATACTGTTAAAACATGATGGGTGCATTTAGAATTTACTCATCTCTCTGGGGTGGAGAGAAAAGCCCATGAAAAACACAGGGCAAGAACAAGGTTTGGTTAGGGCTTAGGCTCAGGGAAGGGAAGGGCATGGGATGGGATGGGATGGGAATGGTGTTAATTTAATTTTGACTCGTTTTTCTCGTTAACATAAATAACATTAAAATCGCTCTCCTTAAAACGCTGAAGCTACTTCATCCCCGAGTCCGACCACCACCGCTTTCTTTGCTCTTACAAACACCTCTTCACTTCTTCTTTCTCTCTCTCGCCCTCTCTTCTTCCTTTTATCTATCTATCCATCTATTTTTCTGCTTGTTTTTTCAACAATACTACACTCTTTCTGCATTTCATCAGGTACATCTCATCACCTTTTTTTTTTATGGTATATTAATTTCTATAACATATTTTTTACAATTTCTTATTCTATTTAAGGCTAGATCAGTAACCCCTTTTACTTATTTCTCCTGATTTATTCATATAAACTGTTTCTCTTTCTGTATTAAAGAAAATAAAGATAAAACCTTGTTTTGGAATTTGATTACTTATATCCATTTATGTCATGATGCTATTGAATAATTGGCACATGGGTTCGGCGTTTTGATAAATTCGGTTCATACTCTGTTCATATTTTTATATGTATATTTTTGGGTTATGTATGAATTTGAATTACACTTAAAAGCTGTCAAGTTTCCTTTTTTTGCCATTCCGATTAAGGTTGTGTAATCTTTTCTGAATAATGAATAAACTCTCTGCAGTATGATGTTGCGAATATATTAATGACTGAGTTTGGAAACTAATGTAGTTGATTGAAGTGAACTATTAAAAGTTGGAGAATTTATCAAATCTGAGTCATACCTGAGGTTACAACATGAGTACTACAAAATTTTTACCTAACCTGTAGTCTAATTATGGAAATATAATAGAATGAGATATTAAAGGTGGTCAAATCACCTAGCAATATGATAATATGCATGTTCCACATTTTAATTTCTGGATTTTGTTTCTACCTGAAGGTGGAAATATGCTTTCTAATTTGCTAAATACTTAAGAGTTAGGAATCCAATTACTTTTATGGCTCATTAGAATGAAGTTTTCAGGCCTTATCTAAGGAGTTCTTGTTGGTTTTCTTTGACGATATACTGATACATAGTAAAGAGATGGGCGAACACGCGAAGCATCTACGCACTACCTGTAGGTGCTCTCAGACAATCAGCTGGTGGTCAATAAAAAAGTGTAATTTTGGGCAATCACAGTTGGAATATTGAGGCATGTGGTTTTTCAGCTAAAGGGGTGTCCGGTAACCTTCAAAGATTAAGAGCATATCAAATGGCTAGAATCGAGAGACATCAGGACACTAAGAGGTTTTCTGGGCTAACAGGATATACTCGCCGATTGTTCGCGATTATCGAAAAATCGCCCTTCCAGGCATGCCCTGAAAAAAGACTCGTTTATGGAAACACAGCAGCTGAAGGGGCTTTTGAAGAACTAAAACGAATCATGACCAGTGTTCTAGTTCTCTGGATGCCTAACTTCACTCAAGAGTTTGTCATAGAAACGAGGCTTCAAAAGCGGATGGGAGCGAGCAGTGCTGAGCAAGAGGGACGACCGATTGCTTTTCCACCAAAAGGTTTGTCTCTAAATTCAAAGCTGAAGTTAGTCTATGAAAGGGAATTAAGGTTGTAGTTCTGCTGTGCAAAAGTGGCGCCATTACTTGGGGCAGACGTTTTGTTATTCGAACAAATCAGCACAGTCTTCATTTTTTAACGCAGCAGAAATTATTGAGTGAGAATCAGCAAAAATGGGTTATCAAATTGCGGGGTTGGACTTCATGATTTAGTATAAACCAAGACCACAGAACAAGGCAACCGATGCTCTTTCTAGGATGCCAAACGTGGTAGAGACCTTCATGCTATCTTACTAGGCTGTTTTTCTGGACTGGACAGTTTGAAAGATGTTATTCAAGTGATGCAGATTACGTGGGATCATGCAACAGCTCCTAATCGACCCCAACAGTCATTATCCCTTTAGATTGGTGGGCCACCATTTGCTGTACCATAACAGATTGGTGCTACCTAAATCTGGGCCTCACACCCATAAAATTTTACAGGAATTTCATGCATCGCCCACGGGGGCCATTCAGGGTTCTTCGCACATATAAGCGTCTCACAAATGGGTGTT